TTTATATATTATTTTTTTAATTGTACTTTAGGTTCTGGGTTACATGTGCAGACCATACAGGATTGTTGCATAGGTACACATATGACAGTGTGGTTTGCTGCCTCCATCCCTCCGTCACCTGCATCTGACATTTCTCCCTATGTTATCCCTCCATGACCTCCCCACCCGCCCCTCCCTTGGCACCCCCTGACAGACTCCAGTGTTATCCCTCCCTGACCTCCCCACTGTCTCTCCCCTGGCACCCCCCTGGCAGACTCCAGTGTGTGATGCTCCCCTCCCTGTGTCCATGTGTTCTCATTGTTCAACACCCGCCTATGAGTGAGAACATGCAGTGTTTGATTTTCTGTTCTTGTGTTAGTTCGCTGAGAATAATAGTTGCCGGATTCATCCATGTCCCTACAAAGGACACCAACTCATTGTTTTTTATGGCTGCATAGCATTCCATGGTGTATATGTGCCACATTTTCCTTGTCCAGTCTGTCGTCAATGGGTATTTTCTTGGTTCCAGGTTTTTGCTATGGTAAACAGTGCCGCTATGAACATATGTGTGCGTGTGTCTTTATAATAGAATGATTTATAATCCTTTGGATACATACTCAGTAATTGGATTGCTGGGTCAAATGGAATTTCTATTTCTAGGTCCTTGAGGAATCGCCACACTGTCTTCCACAATGGTTGAACTAGTTTACACTCCCACCAATAATGTAAAAGTGTTCCTATTTCTCCACACCCTCTCCATTATCTGTTGTCTCCAGATTTTTTAATGATCGCCATTCTAACTGGCGTGAGATGGTATCTCAATGTGGTTTTGATTTGCATTTCTCTAATGACCAGTGATGATGAGCATTTTTTCATATGTTTGTTGGCCTCATATATGTCTTCTTTTGAAAAGTGTCTGTTCATGTCCTTTGGCCACTTTTGAACGGGGTTGTTTTTTTTCTTGTAAATCTGTTTTAGTTCTTTGTAGATTCTGGATATTAGCCTTTTGTCAGATGGGTAGATTGCAAAATTTTTTTCCCATTCTGTTGGTTTCCTGTTCACTCTAATGATTGTTTCTTTTGCTATACAGAAGCTTTGGAGTTTAATTAGATCCCATTTGTCTATTTGGCTTTTGTTGCCAATGCTTTTGGTGTTTTAGTCATGAAGTCCTTGCCTGTGCCTATGTCCTGA